CTATCCATGGGAAAGCTAAATGCTGCATTTGTGGACAAAAGTGGATTTTTATTTCAACAATGGGGAACGGCAGAGTTCAAAAATACACCACTGCCTATTCATAGAGAAGGGTTTTCTAATTTGGATAGCCGTGACCTGGGATGAGAGTTATCGACCTGGCTCAAAAGAAGCATTGCAGCATGCTAGATATATTATACTGGGGTGGATCAGCGTTTGTAGAGTAAAACTGATCATTTATTTGCTAGGCTCAGATTCCCGGATTTCAGGCTGAAAGATCTGGTGTTCCTCAGCTTTTCTTCCCAGCCCCTCAGATGGTGCCGTACAAAAGCTTCAACAGCTCCTTCTGATTTTTTGTTTTCAGAGTTATCCCTCTCTGGCTAGAATGCAACCATATTGTAGAATCTATCAAGTGGGGAGGGTGTATAGGAAGAAGTTCATGCAATGCTGCCATCCTCTGGCTGAGCATTACCAAGCAAAAAATGTGAGTGAAGACATTCGTGGGATGGGCGAGAGTAATATGAGCCTCACTCAGTACTAGCTTTGAGCCCAGAGCAGTGTTCCTCAACAATTTGACAATTTTAAGATGTGTGGAGTTCAATTTCCAGAATTCCCCAGCTAGCTAGCTTGCTTGCTTTCCTTCCTTCTTTCCTTCCTTCCTTTTATCCTTCCTCTCATCTTCCTCCCTCCCTCTTCCTTCCTTCCATCCATCCATTTATCCTTCCTCTCATCTTCCTCCCTCCTGCCCTCCCTGCCTTCTTCCTTCCTTCCTTCCATCCATCCATCCATCTATCCATCCTTCCTTCCTCTAATCTTCCTCCATCCCTCCCTCCCTTCTTCTTCCTTCCTTCCTTCCTTCCTTCCTTCCTTCCTTCCATTCATTTATTCTTCCTCTCATCTTCCTCCCTCCTGCCCACCCGTCCTCCCTCCCTCCCTGCCTTCTTCTTCCTTCCTTGCTTCCATCCATCCATCCATCCATCCATTTATCCTTCCCCTCATCTTCCTCCCCCTCTCTCCTTCCTTCCTTCCTTCCTTCCTTCCTTCCTTCCTTCCTTCCTTCCTTCCTTCCTCCTTCCTTCCACCCATCCATTTATCCTTCCTCTCATCTTCTTCCCTCCCTCCCTTCTTTCTTCCATCCATCCATCCATCTATCCATCCATTTATCCTTCCTCTCATCTTCCTCCCTCCCTCTCTTCCATCCATTTATCCTTCCTCTCATCTTTCTTCCTCCTGCCCTCCCTCCCTTCCTCCCGTCCATCTGGAAACATGACGACTGCTTGGAAAGATGGTTTAATGATGGACAGGACCACATGGTTTGAAATCCTGGGCATAAAAGAGCACATGGGTGAGAGAGGGAGAGAGATTTATACCCCCTCTTGGGCCCCACCTTGGAGCTTCCTGTTCCTGTGTAAGAAATGTACTCTGATTGGTTGTCAGACTCCCATGGGGCCATGCAGGGGTAACTTTGTAGGTTGTATTGAGTTCCAGGCCTGGTTGAATCTTGCTGGGTGATGATGATGATGTAATGAAGGGCTTTGGGCAATTCCTATTATGGCTTAATGGCTTTGTCTTGGTCTGGATCTTGAGTGAGTAATCCTATCATGACCTGAGGGCCATGTCTTTTGTGTTGTAGATAAGCTGGCCCAGGCTTTTTTCTTGTAGATAGGTTGGCACCAAAATATCTGTTGGGGGGGGCAGGGAGCTGAGATTCTGAGTTTGTCTTTAGAAACATGTTTCTCCTTTAGGGAAAATATAATATTCAGTCTTTTTAATATTTCCTAGAATATTTCATTTTCCTAGGAGAGGGGTGAGTGCTAGCTTCCTTTCCTTTCCTTTCCTTTCCTTTCCCTTCCTTCCTTCCTTCCTTCCTTCCTCCCTCCCCCCTCCCCAACCTCCCTTGTTATGCACCTTCACTCCCAATTACACTTCAAAGCAATAGAGCCTCTGTGCCTCATTGTTGATATACAACATTCTTTGCACATTATGGGAGAGCTATGTTGGCCTATGGTGGCAAATTTTTTTTTAAAAAAATCAGGAGTCCAATTGCACAATCAAATTTTATGAAAACCCCAGGAGTGTTCAAACTTGGCAGCTTTAAGACTTGTGGACTTCAACTCCCAGAATTCCTCCTCTCGCTCTTCATCTTGATGATGTGCGGATGGGCGGGGGGAGGGAGTTGGAACCGGTTCTAAACGGCACGGTAGATTTGTGGAACCTCTTCTATAGAAGAGCTTAGGACTGGCAGGAACCCACATCTGCTGCCCATCTTATAATCAGCTCTGGGCAACTCCAAATCAAAAGTTAAAACAGCATAAGGGTTACATTAAAGCTATAAAAACTAAACACATTAAAAGAACTATAAATCTTTTCTATTCTATTTGTATTTCTTTTTCACCCTTTTCCTGCTTTTTGCTTCACAATATTCTTTTAATTCTTATTTTGCATGTAAGATACATTTTGTTGTATTTGTGCTGATATATAAATAAAGGGAGACTAGTATAGATCTATTTCAAGCTATTTAGCTCTCATCAGCTAGCCACACCCTTACTGGGATTTGAACCTGGGCTATATTACATACTAGGCAGACATCTTAGCCATTATTTATCAGCACAAATACAACAAAATGTAACAAAAAGGCAACAGTAAAAATATTGGGTTTCTGCCTGGATGGTCTCTTGTGACGAGCCGAAGGACAGAGAATGGAAGTAGTGATCTTCCTCCCATATTTGGGCATACCGGGGGTTGTAAAAATCTAATAGATACCTTTCACCCTGGCTTCGCTGATAACGGATAAGAGCCTGTGGCCTAATGGCTAAGATGTCTGCCTAGTATGTAATATAGCCCAGGTTCAAGTCCCAGTAAGGGTATGGCTAACTGATGAGAGCTAAATAGCTTGAAATAGATCTATACTAGTCTCCCTTTATTTATTTATCAGCACAAATGCAACAATAGCAATAGCAGTTAGACTTATATACGGCTTCATAGGGCTTTCAGCCCTCTCTAAGCGGTTTACAGAGTCAGCATATTGCCCCCAACAACAATCCGGGTCCTCATTTTACCCACCTCGGAAGGATGGAAGGCTGAGTCAACCCTGAGCCGGTGAGATTTGAACAGCCGAACTGCAGAACTGCAGTCAGCTGAAGTAGCCTGCAGTGCTGCATTTAACCACTGCGCCACCTCGGCACACACACACACACACACTATTTCTCACTTTTCCCCCAGAAAAGCTTCTCACGACAGCTTGCCAGTCATCAAACAGAAAGTCCAAGAGGCACATATTATGATGTTTGCATTTTGTAACTTTCTCTTGATGTGGCTGTGATTGCCCGAAAAGCAATCAAATATATTTGCACAAGATTTCTTCACTTATTTGGGTGGATAAAGATAAGGTTGGAGAGGAGCCACGCTGGACTATGGTAGCAAAACATCAGGAATTAGGTAGCACTTTCCCCAACCCTTTTCTGTGTTTCTACCTTTGAACCAGTTTTAACTTCCGGCTAAGATTTCAAAACTGGTTTGTCATTGCTGCCTTTCCAAGGGGTGACAGAGAACGGCCACCGAGCTGGCTTTGTAATAATCCATAACTAAAGCACAGATGAAACCTGGTGCTTTAACTATCCCACCAAACCAGCTTTCCGGACAACCTGTTTTATTTAAACCTGTCCATGTCCTGCAGCCAGCTGTTTGACCTTGGGCCAGTCTCTCTCTCTCTCTCTCTCTCTCTTTCAGCCCTGGGAAGGAGGCAATGGTAAACCACATCTGAAATCTTGTCCAGGCAGTTTAATGTCTAGTTTAATGAAAAGAAGGAGTAGAGAGTTCCAATTTCTAAAGGGTTGCCACAAAGAAGAGGGAGTCAACCTATTCTCCAAAGCACCTGATGGCAGGATAGGAAGCAATGGGTGGAAAATAATTAAAGAGAGACACAAACCTGGAATTAAGGAGAAGCTTCCTGAGAGTGAGAACAATCAACCAGTGGGACAACGTGCCTCCAGAAGTTGTGGGTGCTCCATCACTGGAGGTTTTTAAGAAGAGATTGGACAACTGTTTGTCTGAAATGGCATAGGGCTTCCTTCTTGAGCAGGGTGTTGAACTAGAAAGAAGGCCTCCAAGGTCACTTTCAACTCTGTTATTCTGCTTTCTCATCTGTGGCCTTTAATAAGGGAAGACTTCAACTCCCAGAATTCCCCAGCCAACCCTCCCGCAGTTGAATCCTGGGAGTGGGAAGCCCATCCTACTTCAAGATGCTGCAGCTCAGAAGCCACACTCAATGTGCGATGCCGGAGTCTACCCCTGCCTTTGTGCTGGTGTATGCTCTTATTCTCCTTTCTCAAGTGTGGCCCCTTTAAGAAGGGTGGACTTCAACTCCCAGAATGCCCCATTCCCAGTTGACTCCTGGGAGTTGAAGTCCACTCCCTCTTAAAGAGCCAGGCACTCAGAATCCCTGGGGGACTCGATGGGCAATGCTGGAGTCTATCCCTGCCTTTGTGTTGTTGTATGCTATTATTCTACTTTCTCAGTGGCCCCTTTAAGAAGGGAGGACTTCAACTCCCTTAATGCCCCAGCCAGCATTCTGACTGTTGAATCCTGGGAGTTGAAGTCCAACCCTCTTAAAGATGCAGCCGCTCAGAATTCCTGGGCTTGACTCGATGCGCAATGCTGGAGTCTATCCCTGCCTTTGTGTTGGTGTATGCTCTTATTCTCCTTTCTCAACCGTGGCCCCTTTAAGAAGGGAGGACTTCAACTCCCAGAATACCCCCATTCCCAGTTGACTCCTGGGAGTTGAAGTCCGCCCCCTCTTAAAGGGGCAGCCGCTCAGAATCCCCCCCGGCGCTCAACTTGGATGCGCGATGACGGCCCGCGCTTCGCTTGCAAGGGTTAACCGGCTCTCCAGCTCTTCCCCGCCCTCCTCCCCCTCCCGCCGCTTCCCCGCCCTCCTCCTCCTACCGGCCGGGGCTGCTCCTTGCCGCTGGCTTCTTCCGCAGCGTCTTGAAGCAACGCCGAGCTATGGCTTTGACCCGCGCCCAGCGCTGCCTGGTGCGGGTGCTGCGCTTCTTCTCGGGCGCCTTCCTGACGCTGCTCAGCCTGGCGCTGCGCGTCTCCGCCCTGTTGAGTTGGAAAGCGAAAGGCGCCCGAGGATCTCGCCCTGCGTGGCGCACCGTCCCGCCGCCCGACCAGCCGCTGCTGCTCCTTCCCGCCGGGGAGCTGGCCAGGCGCATCCGCCGCAGGGAGGTAAGGAAGGGGAAGGAGACCTCGAGGGTCTTGGGGGGCGCCCCCTAAGAAGTGTCCTAATGTCCCCGTTTATTTGTACCCATTTCCTGTGCGCTTATTCATGTTTAGTCTTATTCCTGTTATCTTGGAGTGACTGACTAACTAACTAACTAACTAACTAACTAACTAACTAACTAACTAACTAACTAACTAACTAACTAACTAACTAACTAACTGGAAGAGGAGTGGCGTTTATTTATTTATTTGCTAAGAGTTTTGCAAGCGGGGAAAGTCAAACCGGGAGAAACAGGAAAAAGAAGAAGAACAAAGTTCAAGGGAAGAAAGAAGACGCGCGGTATTTATTTATTTATTCAGGTTTGCTACGAGTTTTGCTAACGGGAAAAGCCTCATCGAGAGGGCGAGATAGGGAAAGAAGAAGAAGAAGAAAGGGGAAGGAAGGAAGGAAGGAAGGAAGGAAGGAAAGAGAAGAGAAGGGGAGAGGCAGGGATAAAGGGGAAGGAAGGAAGGAAGGAAGGAAGGAAGGAAGGAAGGAAGGAAGGAGAGAGAACAGGGGCTTTATTGATGCTTGCTGAGATGTTGCAAAAAGGAAAAAAAATCAAATTGAAGGGGAAAGGTAGGAAAAAGGGAGAAAAGCAGAAGGAAAGAAAGAAGACAGACATCTTTGTTGAGGTTTGCTAAGAGTTTTT